CAGGATGTAACCACAACAGGTTTTCCCATAAATAAATCAAATCTCTTCCCATGATTCTCTCATCAAAAACTTCCTATTTGAATGACAGTTTTTAATTACTAGATCAGGTTCTGCTTGCATAAAGAGTTTCCATTTCAAAGAAGTATTGCACTGATATGGAAAACTCACTATGGAGAAACATATTTGTCATTGAAAATGCACAAGTTTTGACTACTCTGTGGCTTTCCTCTAGAGATGCCACAGCATAGCACACACAGTAAACAACTGCACCAGGTTCTCAGCAGATGCATATACTTTATTTGCTATTGAACCACTATGTTCCTGGGTGAGGCTCAACTTCTGTATGCCTCTGTTTTCTCCTCTGTAAAAACAGTTTCTAAAAAGTATTTCTCAACCTGGAGAAGGAAGCAGAGAGGAGAGGGAGGAACTGGTGACAGGGATTTTATGAGATCCCGCTGGAATTCTTGGGAGTGGTGCCTCTTGCTGCCCCAGGCTGCAGATGCAATTTACGTAAAATGCCCTTGCCCTCTACAGAGGGTGAGGACAGGACAGGCAAGCAGCTGTTGTGGTGGTGGGAAAGCTACATGGAATGAGGGGCCAATGAAGCAACAAGCCCAAGCTGAGCTTCTGCCAGGATTTGCCATCATGGAAGAGGTAACTGCAGCATTTATCCTATCCTCCCCTTCTGCCAGGGAGCAGAGTGCCTGCCTGTGCCAAAGGTACTGCTAGCACCTGACAGGAGGAGTTACCACCTGGTTTCTCAATGTAATGAAGAAAAAGGAATGAGAAAGTGGCCTATTAGATGCTGGAGCAGCACAGAGGGAAGAAAAAAAAGGAGCTTGAAAACCGCTGGATTATAATTTTATGGTAGTATTATTTGATGGTCTGACTTAACAAGTCTTTCCAACTTTGGTTCCAAAGATTGTATGGATACTTCCCTATCTCACCCAGGTGTTTGAAGTTTAATTAATTAATGTTTATAAAGAGCGTTACAATTTCCAGATGAAAGGTCCTATGCAAGTGCAACGTAGTATTACTCATTGAGGTGATTGGGTTAGAGAGTATCACATTACACAATACAGCTCTTCCCTCAATGATTTTAAGCGTTTGAAGTTCTGATAAAATGTGTTTATCACTAAGACAGATATAATGGAAATACTCTTAAGGCGTGACCTGGATTATGAAAGCTAAGGTATGGTTTTGGGAATGGAACAAACGAGAATTAAAACAACTCCTGAGGCCAGATTTGTCTATAGTTGTATAAAATAGATTCTGTTCTTCCTTTTCTCCCTCTTCCAGTAGGCTTTTCTTCTCTTCTAAAATAGAACCGGTTATTACGGTGGGTGTGAGCAGACATGCAACAGTTCACGTTCAGTTCCTATTTCCATACTCATCCAACTTGACATTTTCTCATGACTTTCACAAAATTATTTTCTGTTCTCAATTTTTTTTTTTTTTAAATTTTAATGTTTGTATTAACCCTAAGGGCACACAGTTTTTTTTTTTTTGGAAAGTTCTACTTTAACCAGCAATTAAAATGAATTAAATCAAAACCTCGTGGACAACACCAGGCTGGAGAATGCAGTCAACACACTCAAGACAGGGTTGACATTCAAAGCTCTTAAGGTCTAGACAGGCGAAAGGAGTAAGTCAGCATGAACTTTGTGACACTCACTAATGACAAATGTAGAGTCCTGAATCTGGAAAGGATCAACTCCTTGCATCAGTACCAGGTGGCGAGTAACTGCCTGGGCATCAGCTGTGCTGAAACGGAGGTGGTGTCCTGGTGTTCAGTAAGCTGAACAGGAGTCAAGCAGTGTGCTGTGGCTATCAACAGGAGTGCAGATCAAGGGAACTGCTTTATTCAGTGCTCATCAGACCAAATCTGCAATATGGTGACCCTCAGTAAAAGAAAGAGGAAGGCAAATTTGAGCAGGTTTGAAATAGGGTTACCAGAGTGTCCAGTGTACTGGAGCACTTGACCTGTGAGGAGAGGCTGATGGAGCAGGGCATGTTCACCCTGGGGAACTGATGTCTTCATGGGATTTAGCAGCAACCTTCCCATTTCTACAAAGCATTTACTCAGAAGACAGAAGCAGGCTCTTTAATGAGTGGGAAAACAAGAAACAATTGCCACAAACAAAGCTTTCACTGGATATAAGGAAAAAATATTTCATGGCAGAGGGGGCAGGTTGCTCAGAGAGACTGTGGAATCTCCATTTTTCAAGGTTTTCAAGACCCAGACGGAAAAAGCCCTGAGCAACCTGATCTGAAATCAGTGCTGACCCTGCTGTGAGCAGGAGGTTTCTTTTCAGTCTGATTCAGTGGGAAGGGAGGGAAGCCCTATGTTATGTATACTTTTCAGGAACGGGCTTGGACTTTTGTGATTGAATTAAGTGTTGAACAAGTCTGCTCAAAATATGTTTCAAAATAACTTTACTCATTATTTGTCAAAAGACAATGGTTGATATTCCGACTGCTAGGTTCTATCTTTGTTCTTTCTCCTCCATTCTCTAAAACTGATCATGATAGCAAACAACAGAGATTTGGGATGGCTTATAAATGAAGGCATTATTATACCTAGAGGTCTCAGTTAAAGGCGAAACAAAACCAGAATTTTTAGTAATACCAGGTAATGGAATAACAATGCAATTTGTTTGTGCATTTCTGACTCTTAAAAAAGAATCCGTATCAAGTCAAATTTGTGAACTACTAAAACACACTGTTGACTAACCAAATTATACAACACACTGAACGCTTTCTTTAGTTGAGTCTTCTCGATTTTTGTGATATTGAAGTAAATGATGAATTTTCCATGAATGCTGTTTTTATTGTTAATAACTCTCATTAACTAATAGCTAATCTTCTAGAGGAATATTCTTTTTCCTGGCATTTTTAACATGTTATTCTTCCAAAATTCTGCTGTATCCCCATTAGAAGTTACATGCTTGAGTAAACCAAGTAATTAAAGTGTAACAAAAGCACACCTGCCATAACTCTGATCTTTCTAAATATGTGATCGTATTTCTGATTTGTTCATAAACAGAATCACTAACTGAGTAAGGATGTCAAGAAAACAGGCTTGTTACTAAGTCACATGTCAGTTTTCCCCTTCTTTCTATCCTATGCTTCTCACCCTCCTCTGTCAAGAAATTACAGAAATCTGTAAGAAGATCAATATGCAGCAAAGTAAAGAGATGAAAAATGTTTACTGTTTGCAGACTCAAAGACATATCTTCTTGCCAATCTGTTTCTTAATACTCTGAAGAGGCCAAAGGCATTAAAAAAGACTATTAGACAAATAGGAAACTAAAAATCTTGATAGTGGCTAAACTGAAACAACATAAGGGTAAGAATAACGTACAGACTCTAAAAATGCAGTAGAGTAGCTATGTAACTGGCAATTATCCTGAGTAGTTTGGAGAAAAGGGCAATTTCTAATCTTTGCTCCAATGATTTTTGGTCAAAAAAATTGTAAATAAAACATCTAGTTTTCATTGCAACTTCATGATAATAAGGGTAAAACTAGGAAAACATCTTTGTGGAAAGAGCATTCTGTGTATAACACGTTAATGGTAACTAATGAACCAAAACCCACAGAAATCTCTTTGGACAGCTAACAAACACATACACCTATTAATTAGGTCACAGTTGTTTCCTCACAAATCTTTTGTTCACGTTAGTTGTAGAAAACACCAACATATCCATTAAACCTGCAGGGAGGCATTCACCAGTGAAGAAAATATTTATTTATTATACGTTAAATGCTTGCAATTATGTGACTCCTTATGGCAGTTCTGCTGGTTTCTCTCTTTGTAAGTAAACTATAATCACTCAGCTCACAATCCATTCTACTCCTCAGAACACCACTCAGCTCAGCAGATGCCATTGTTTCATTTTGTGTACTTCAGACAACCATTGTAACTCTTATCAAAGATTTTAAAATCTTTTGAGTATCCAGGAAAAAACCAAAACAAAACAACAAAAACGACAACAACAACCAACCAACCAAACAACTCCAACATGAAAAGATTTACCATGTTTCACTTTCATAAAAGAAAAGTTGGAGAGGGTATTTTTTTAAGGTTACCACCAGGAGGTGAGAGGTAATTTCTGCCTGAAACCCAGCTAAATCTGAGTTTCACTTACAAACACAGTTTGCCCACTATGTCAGTTATTTCACTAACTGGTTGTGAGGGAAATACTTGCAAAGGGCTCATGTTCTTATTGCAGAAAATGGTAAAACTGCAGGCTGCACATCATTTCAAGGACATAAACCAGCCTGATTTCCTGAGAGTCTAGGGAATACCATTGCCTTCATGAAAATAATCAGCAAGTATTTCCTAATTTCTATGCGTGTGCAACGCACTGTGGGGCAGACAAGATGGCAGATAGAGTATATCACTGCTCTGTTGGAACAAAGATGGCAGAGGCTGCTGAATTGGTAGTGCTTCATCTTTGCTGTTTGAACCTTGCTTTACAAAGCTGGCCATGTTCATTACCTCACCAGTCTAGTTCCACTTCTCCCATCACTACCTTTGCCCCGGGGCAGCTGCTGCCTCCTTACCTCCATGTCTCCTGCCCCAGAACCTCCACCACTTCCTCCTCACATATCCCACAGCAACTATTGTCACTGCCTTCCTCAGCCCACCGAGACTGAATTAATAAACCTGGCCGAATCCAGCTGACTCTGTCCAGAACCTCTTGGGTGTGTCTTCACAGGCTCCTAGTACCGGCAGAGTTTATTTGCTGTGCTGCTGCACCTCACCTGCAATGGGTTCATGCCTTGTGGGTTGGAAAGCCAGAGAAGGTAAGAACTCTTTCAGGTCATTATGTCTAGAGTTTTATGAGTTGCTAACCACAGCAACGAGGTTAACTAGGTTAACTGGGATAAGCCTAAACTATGACTTAAACCCCTACCCACTTCTGGATCAAAATTAAGAAGAAAGAGGCAATAACATTATTCTTCTTCAGGAAAGAAAAATTAAGCACTGTCTTACCATAATCCTATCACTGTCAATAATGGTGTTCAAGCGGTGTGCAATGGTCAGCACTGTGCAGTGAGCAAAGGTTTCACGGATCGTCTTTTGAATGAACTCATCTGTTCTGAAACACAGCAAGAGCAATGCAGACAAAAATGAGATATTTGCATGGATAACTGAATGGCAGACAGGTTTTATGACTTTATCAAACATGACTGTATAGCAGGAAATATGTTTATAAAGTTATTACATTATTATCTTGTTCTATTAGATGACTTGGAGGTTACCGTAAACATACTTCAAAATCTATCGTCTAATACTTGATGAGGAAAGAGTTTCTTCTTGTAAGTAGAGCAATAGGCTTCATTTCAGGAGAACTCTGAATACAGAAAGAGGAAAATTCCATAGATTCAGACAGTCCTAAAGATTTCTAAATGAAAAAATGTAATTGTAATTCTCTTTGGAGCTTTAGTTTGTGCAAGCAGTGAAGAAAAGCTGGTGAAAGTAAATATCCTTCACTGCAAATCAACTGAAGAACAAACACAAGACAGCCTAGAACTAAGGTTCTTGATTTCAAATGCAGAAGGGGATTAATTAAAGGAGAGGGTTGGTAAACTAAACTAGAACTGGAATAGCTCAAGAACTTGAATACAGAAAAAAGAAAACTTGGCATACTCTGTAAATCAAAAGAGTTAATTGGAACATACAACCCAAGAAAAGGGATAAAAGATTTCAAGTTAAGTCTCAAGCCTACTATATGAATTAACCATCTAAGCAAAGGATATCAGAAGGATACATAAGATTCGTAAAGAATACAAACTAAGCTAAAACACAGACACAAGTACAGGGCTGAAGTGATACTTGTCATAAATAAAGCTGACAAAGTGAAAAGGAAATAAAATTATACATAAATACACTTAATACAGTAAGATGTTCTTAAGCTGTACAAATAAGCATTAAGGCAAAAGAACTGGAGCTTATTCAAGTAACTAACTGTACAAGAGAAGCACTGACACCACCTAACAATGTCTACAGTCCTATAGACATGACAATCCTCTCTTTAGTCAGTGAAAGGTGAGAGGCATGGCTGGAAGGTGAGTCAGAGAACCTGAACTAGGCAGTCATCAGGTGATGAATGCCCTCTAGAGGCTCCTGACAGCCCACACTGCATAGGTAGCCTTGGCTCCCAATCTGGGCACAAAGCCAGGCCATGAGAATACTCACATATTGCCCATCAGATTTCAAAAAACCCTCATGAGTACTAAGATGGTACAGAAATCAAAATTCCAACCCAAGATGGAAGGATGGCACAAAGAACTCAAAATATACTGGGGTTAGTTGGACTAAGAAATCTCCAGCCTAGAAGTCAGGCACTTGAAGGCATGGGTCTTATTTCCAGGATTTCTATTAAAACATGAATTTGTTCTTTTACATATGACTGGAGAATAATAAAATGCTGCAGATACAGTTAAAACAGGACAAAGGAGATATATGGATAAACTAGTATACTTAGGCAGAGCTGTTGGCTGCAACCAGTTGCTTGTAAAGCCTTAATTCGTCATGTTGTTAAAAGTAATGGGAAAAAAAATGCATAAAATATTCATGCAGCACGTCTGAGTATTATTTTTTTAAGACAGAAGTAGTGCTCCACACTGAATCTGTCTGCACATAATAAATATTTGGTATCACTTCGTGAATTACACAAAAATAATTGTTTTGATGTCACCATGTCAAGAGGCACTTGCAATAAGAAGTGGGCAGACAACTTTGGAAGAACAGGATGACTGAGAGGACTGAAGTAACCACTAAGTTTCCACAGTAGAAAACAGGAGCTCACAGTCTGAAGGACTAAGTGTAACTTCTGTTACAAACTTAGTTGAAGCAATCAGCATGACAAAGGAATAGACAGATCCTTGCTGACGACAGGATGATTCCTCAGAGAGGAGGAAGATATAAACAGTTTAGTAAGAATTCCCATGCATGCTGACTGCTATCTTCATCTGGGGGACAGAAACATTTTAGTTCTGTCACGAGATTGTTCTGGGCCACAATCTGAGAAGGTTTGGTCCTTCTGCTTCTACTTCCTAAAAGAAGCTAAAAAAAAAAGGTGTGAAGCAGGTGTTCCTCAACAACTTTTGAACCAAGGCCAGTATGCACTCAGGGAAAGAGAGAGGAGGAGAAGTCAGGACAGACCCAGGCTCTTTAGTTCTATGTGTTAACTCCTTAAGAAAAGGAAGTTGTTCATCATGTTCCACATCACAGCAACACCAGTGCTTTTGCCCCAGTGTTAATACATGTATATTTTTTTGCTGTCTTCTCACCAACGGCTCAATAACCTGACTACTCTTACCTTCAAAAGAAGAAAAAAAACCAGGGGCGTACATGAAAACACTCACTATGGAAGAACCTTATATAGACAGCAGGATGTGTTCTCTGCAACAGTTAAAATAGCAAAATAGAAACAAAAGGTTCAAAACTCGCTAGAACTGTGCAAGAGAGGCCTTCTTCTTTCCTTATAGTTGAGCTCAAAGTGAAGTTTCCTGCAAGCCACTACACAGCACAGAGAATCACAGCTTGCTCAGACCTTTGAAAACAACTTTTTAAAGGGTTCAAAATTATTTGTAACTCAGGTTATTCCTACTATTTTCTGAGAATCCCTCAGCCTTGAACATCCCTGTCCTCTGCATTAATTTATTATATCTCCTTGTATTACATGTATTCTTTACAGCACTACCTCTTCCTACATTTACAATAAAAAACCATTTCTCATTCTTAGATATTATCAAACTATTATCTTAGATAGTTCTTGAATATAAGCTTATCACTAATAAGAAACTGCTGGCCATATTGTGGGTGTGACAGATATTCTAAAATGAGACTACAAAGTAATCAGAAACAGACTTAATAGCTCCATCTTCAAACATCACCATATGAAATCTCATGCAGATGAGCCTACTGACTGGCACTTGGCTAGATCCTCTGTAAGGCTCACAGTAGATCTTGGAGCATAGTTTTTGGGACAGCAGGCAGAAGCACCATCAGTAAGCTCCAACAGAATCTCAGCAAGAAGATGGGAAAGGCACAAAAGTCTAAAAAGATCAAAAAATGCCTCTGTATATAGAATTAGGTAGTGGAGACTATATCACATATCAACTAGAGTTAGAAAAGTACCAAAGGAAGAATAATTTCTGTCCCTTCCTCAGGGCATAAATGGACCCTTTGTGGCACCTACCCACACTGAGCAAGTGGTCAGTCAAATGTCAAGTGATTTCATCACCCACCTAAATAGATCAAACCCCATCATCTTCCAGGCACATTAAAAACCAAAGATGCAACCCGAACACCAAAACCAGGGCTGCTGGATGACAAAAGCTCAACCCTAATCTGTTTATATAAAAATGGGAACCACAGTACTCCCTACTGGAAGGAACAGCACCATAAGAAAGTACAAAATGGTGGTACAGCTTCCCACAGGCACTACAGGTTGAGGATTTAACACCAAGTTTCACAGCAACCGAAGATCTGGTGTAAGCTGAATTAGCTGACTGTGTAAAAAGAAAACTATCTAAAGAGCAAGAATAAATATGATCTAAATGAGAAGCAACCAAGCTCCTGAAAGGAACACTGGATAAGTCATTATCTTCTGCCTAATATTCTCCTGTGGATTGTCCTGGAAGCGTATCTCACACTACACAACTCCTGAGTGACTTCAGATAATTTCTCCAAAAGAGGAAGAGTTACAGATAGCAGTCAGATGTAATAAGAGGTTAAACCTTACAAGGTTAAGTTAGCTAATAAACTGAACTATGTGCAATGGCTGTTTTTACCAGACTCAATGAACAACCAATGCAAAAACATGCCAGTGGTCTAGTCCCAAAGTTTTGTCCTCTGTAAGCAGCAAAAATACAAGTTAATGCATAATACTGCAGTCAGTGAGCAGAAAGCTCACTAAGTTGAAAAAAGTATTTTAAAGAAGTCTCAGTTACTGAAGATTTTGTTTTAGTGTATGACCAAAGCAACTACAGAAAGATTTTCAGCATTTTCACTCCAGATTTCATGCAAATTTCCAGAAGAGTTCAACTGTTTTAAAATGACCCTTTTCTTCAGGATGAGAACGGACCAAGAAGACAAAATCAAATTAAATGTCCATCAGTCGTCACATAAAACATTCAAGCAGTCTGATTTAGGGCAACCTTCTTTATGGGAAGCTCCTCCTTCCCCTCACAGAAGTGCTGACACGCCTGCAACATGCAGAGCAGGTGGTAGCCATGAGGAGCAAGGGGTATATATAAGGGTATATATGGGACCAGTAGTAGATGAGAATGGCCTAGCTAAGCTGGAGAAACATGGTGGGGAGTACCCTCAGCCCTGGGGGGGTACAGTGCTCACCTCTCTCTCACTCTGCTGTCCCATCCACTGCCTCACATCACCTTCCTTCTCCTCCCCCCATCCCTAAAACCCTTTATGCTCACACTTGCTTCCAGGTGGAGCTGTAGAAGGGACATGGTGGCAGCAGAGCTGAGGCAAAGAGATCAAGAGCCAGAAAAACAAACAAAAAAAGGAACATAATCTCCAGAGCCGGCAGCAACTCTCCATGGTTTCCTATCTCAGGTGCCTGAAACGATGTCTGCTTGCTGCCAGGCTAGAGACAAGGCTGCCAGATACGGGGGTTGTGCATCAGAAGATGAGGAGGTTTTCCTTACATGCCAAAAATGCCTCCCTTAACTGCTCAGTTAAGCAACCCACATCAGCATTTCCTGATGATCGTCCTATCAGATTGCACAGCTAAAAAATACTTGGCTTTAATTATACCAACACATTAAGGAAAAGGTAATAATGACTGTAATGCAAACTGAATTCAAAGAAGAAGTTCCAAGTTATTATTTGTATTGTTATGCTTAGAGTTGATACAAACAAACATTTACCTTATTTTAATATATATTGCAGCACACATTAATCAAGATCAATTAAATGTATAGTGCAAGTTGAGAACACACATGTGAGATGCCTAAATAGGGAGGATGAGTAAGATGGTATTAAATTTCCTCAACCATGATTAATCAGAGTTAATCTATCAGAGCTCAGCCAAAAATAAACTAATAGTAAAAAAAAGTAAAAAAGAAAAAAACAAGAGAACCTCTGGGAAGGTTTTAGAAATACACTGTCAACTGAACTGCAAAGCTACTCTAGTGGCACCACTTCTCCCCCAAGAAGATGTTATAAAAATGAGTCACGCCCAGATGACATACAAAATCCTTAATGCATCTGTTTGAGGGACTTGCTGTGTTATTGTCCTCTTTGGACTTTGAGTTCTCCCTCAAGCCATAGTTTGTTGGAACTATATATTCAGCTCAGACTAATTGATGCAGTACGTTTGCAGTATTGTTTCCAAAATACTTCCATCAGCGTTTCAAATGTTTCAAAAATTAACAGTGGGGGTACTTAGCTATTGGAACAATTTAACAAGGGTTGTCATTGAATTTTTTTCTATTGAGGTTGGACGTTCTTTTAGAAGTACCCTCTAGTTCAAACAGGAATGAATTCAGGAAAATTCTGCCGGCCTGAGTTATTTAAGACCAAATGATGAATGATAAATGAGTCCCTCCTGTAGATTTAAACATCTCTAAATCTGTTTTGCAGTTCTTTGTTGTGTTTAGGACAGCTTACCTTCTACCCCTGCCCCCATTTTATCTCTAACTTAACACACCAACATCTGAGCCATTGGAAAGGATAGCATCTCATAACCAGGATAGCCATTTTTCACCTTTCTAGTTTTAGGGGATTTGGGGAGTGAGATTAATTAATTATTTTTAATTTATTTACTTCCAACAGACATTTCTTCCAGAAATCAACAGAACTCAACTTGTTTCATGGCTATTCTGATGTTACAGAGATGCATTTCCAAGAACATTCTTGTCTTCTAATCTATGGCTGCAGGACAAATGAACTTTGAATATTAATTTCCTTTTTCTATGGAATGCACTGAAATTAGGGACGTTTTCACCACTTAGTTTATAGCATCTGCTCCATAGCCAAAGCTCAATGTGCCCACTTTGAACAGTCAAATATGATGGTATCCTTAAAAACCTAAGAACAGCAATACAAACTACATGTAATATAAAGCATTTAAGTTCATCTCTACAGTACAGATAAACATATTAGAAGAAAATCCAGCTCATTTTAACATGACAGATTTTGGTTTTACCTTGGGTCCACATTTGCTGTTGCTTCATCGATGATAAGAATACGATTTTTTTTTAGAACTGCTCTGGCAAGACACACCAGCTGTCTCTGACCAACACTAAAATTAGATCCAGATTCTGCCAGCTGCGTCTCCATTTTATTAGGTAGGTCTTCCACAACCTCCTTCAGCTGCACCTGTTGACATGTCAACATACTGTAGGATGAGTAACTCCCTTTTAAATCACCTATTGTGTATCTGATGACACAACAGTAAGTATGCAAGGTTTGCCTTTTATATTCTGACACAAAATGAGTAAGCGCCAAGTTGGATTACACAGTGTGTCAGTTATTAGAATTCTAAAAACATTAAAGCACATTGTTAAGAATCTATTAATGTTCATTAAACTAAGATATGAATCAAAATATAACCAAAGCATCATCCCAAAGGATAATTTTTTTCATAGAAGACTTACATAACAATACACAAGTCTACACACACATGCACAAACACACACAAATGCACATGTAACAGTCTACCTTTTTCCATCAACAGGAATACCCTTATCAAACCCAATGAAAACATCTAAAACCTAACACACATAAGCACTGTAATGTTATTGTTATTTGGATTGTAAATATCAGATGTACAAAAGCAAATTAATTAAGTTACCTCTTCCAAGGCATTCCACAGCTCTTCATCAGTGTATTCATTGAAAGGATCTAGGTTTTTCCTCATAGTTCCAGTGAATAAAACAGGCTCCTAAAACCCAGGAAAATGAGCGTTCCATTATAAATACAGGATTTATAATGCAATGGGTAATTTAATGATAATCAGAGCTAACCTGTATCAACAACAAAACAGAATACACAACAAGCAGCTATCATTTTTGAAATGCAAAAATGTATTTTACAATAGCATGCTTAAGGGGGATATGAGGGGAGGCAAATGCTCAACTACTCCATACGAAGATAATTTACCAAACAGGACAGGTCTGTTTGCAAATGGCTGTACACAGTTATGTCAGTACTTAAATGGGCATTTACATGCCACTGTTCTGATGCCACAAGCTATATATATACTTACATGAAATCGCTGCTATCCTTCTGGTATTGTTAACAAAAACCAATAGCTAGCACTGTCAATGAGCTCACACTCCTAAATTACATTTGGGCAGTTTTGAAAACCTGTTTTTGAAGTACATAAACCAGAGATGAATCAAAGAGCTCACAATGATTTTCTGCTTTTCCTTCTCTATTTGGCTGTGTTTTGGTTTTTTTGTGGGTTTTTTTTGGTTGGTTGATTTTTAATTTGTTTTTTCTGGGGGTGTGTTTCCTTTTTTTTTTTTTTTTTTTTTTTTTTTTTTTTTTTTTTTTTTTTTTTTTTTTTTTTTTTTTTTTTTTTTTTTTTTTTTTTTTTTTTTTTTTTTTTTTTTTTTTTTTTTTTTTTTTTTTTTTTTTTTTTTTTTAATTTATGTCATAAAAGCCATTCCATTTTACCATTAGGGCTATGAGGAACAGCTTTCACCATTTAAAACCTATACCCACTGAATATACCCACTGAAGTTAATCTATACTGCCACAGCATCAAAAACAACTTACTTAGAACTGGAGCACTGCTGGGCAAAGCTCTCACTCAAAATACACCAGGGAGTCAAATCAGTACCTTCTCCCACTCAGGTACCAATGTGGGTTTACCTGTGGTCGAAGCAAGTTTTGTTCTACTTCAGTTCCCAGTCAAATCAATAACACATAGTTAATCAAACTGTCACAAATTAATTTACACTGAAAAACGTAGTGTTTAAGGAGTGGGAAGATGACTTTTGGTTCAGAACTCCTTAAGCAACACATCAGTACTCATTAATTATGAGTTTCCAGACCTGAGTCATGCACTGACACGACTTTAGGGCTAAACTCATCTTAATACCACACATAAAGACAGCAAGTCAAAAACCGTAATACTGCTAATCAAAAATGGAGACCATTCATCATGTTGTCAGCCTTCTTTAAATTGCAGACATTTTAGGCAAAATGTTTTCTTTCTTTTTTTTTTCCCCTCCACTGGGAAATAGTCTAACTTACACTGGATAATTTCAGCTTACTCTGAGATTAACCTGTTGTGACTTACTCCCCATCTAACCCTAGGGATGCCCACTCCAAAGGCCTGCAGCAAATCAGAACAGAATTCAGACCTTAACCCTTTTACTGACTCTTCATTTCTAAATCATTTGATTGCTATAGAAGAATTAACAAAGATAGAAAATGCCACAAGCAATGTAAAAGAATATATACACTTCTTGGTGCAACATGCCAATTATTTGAAAGTATCTGCTCCAATAGCAACATATCCCTAAAAACCTGTTGAATTAACAAAAGGAATTAAAACAAAATATTTCCAGGTTAAAAAAAGTTTTCTTCAAGAACACCTAGAAAATAATTTGCTTAATAGTACATATTTTAATGCACCATTTGGTGTGTTTTGAAGGTATTGTTACATTTATTTTCCTTTTCAATCCATTTTTATAGGCTGGCAAAATAAGAGCTGAATCTATAAAGTGTTCATAACTACTATAAAAGTCCTAACAACAGACATGCACTGCAACAGAAGATAAGGATATTTTTTAATTATCACTTCTGACGCAGATTATTATTTAAAACAGTCTGGTTTATGAGAAGAAAGTAATAAGACAAACCTGTAAATAATTGTTGTAAAAATGCTTGCAGTCAGAGAGGCAGACAACATTTGCATAGAAAAGATTTACAAACACAACCTTTACACAGCTCCATCCAAGCAAGCAATTAGAAGCCTAAGCACATTTTTATTTCTCCAGGTAGGTATTTAAACTTACACACAAGAAAACTTCAGTCTTGCCTCATCACTCTCTAGGAATGGTTCTGTTTAGCATGTTTTATGTTGCAATTCTAATAAGCATCTCTCCCTCTGGTTTCTTAGCTTCCCACATAATTATGAAGATATTTGCAGCAAAACAACTACCTGATGTTACACTGCTATTTTTATTACTGGCACTACTATTAACACAGTACGAGACAATGCCTATCACTCAGTTTACTATAGTAGAAACCTTATTCCAAACTCTTTTCCTCTTCTTACTACCACCACTTCATAGTTTTGCACATTTTCAGTAGAAACAAATCTGCCCTTACGTTGAAAACAAATGACACTTGCTAGCCTTTGGACACTTAAAACCTTTTGGGACTATGATGAAAACCTTATATAAACTTGATAAAAATCACAGAATTCCACTGGATTAAAACAATTTTAAAACTATGCCGATGGACCTGTGTATGAAAAAACCCTCATGTATAATTAAATGCAGTGAACTTTGAGTATCTATATCGCTCAACACGTAGAAACTGTATTTGATCTGCAGTTCTCCTGTCTCAGTACGCTATTTGGTTCAAATTTAGCTGAATTCTTCAAAACATAAAAATCACCCACAATAGCTAAGGGCAGGGCTTTCAAAAAGCTGAAGACCTTAAATGAACTGACGATCATCTGCTTTCAGAAGAAAGGAACACTACACACACACACAAAAAAAGAGAACTAAATCCATGTAAACTACTCTTTACATACAAAAGATGACTAGTTCCACTGTGCAACAAATAAGCCTTCAGCATGCAGAAACAAAAGACGCGCTGCAACATTAGGCAACAATCTAATTGCACCTATTTTTTAATTTATTTAATTTTAAAATAGCATATGTGTTTCTTTTTTCTGACTCCTGTTCTTGGCGGCGAGGGGAAGGAAGGTAATCAAGAGAGGCTTAGAACCACTGTTCATTATAATTTGTATTAGATTCTCAATTTAAAGAAAATAACACACTCTGAATGCCATCCCAAGAACAAGCTAGCACAGCTTCGAACATAAAGTTGTTATAAAGACTCTTAAATACAGCTTCCATAATAAAGCACAAAGATCTGAGAAATAATGCTAAACATGGCAAACAAATTCCTCTGGTTTCCAGCCTACTGTTAAGTCTACCTAATAGAACAAACCAAATGAATTACTTTCCAAAACCATGACTAAACAGTTGCAGCATATGAGTTTTTCCCTCTTCCTCCCTCTCCAGTGGACAGTAGATGATCACAGAAGAGACCAGAGCTCTCATGAAACAGTAAGCTGCACAGACTTTGCCTTTTGATGCTTTAAGGTTATACATAACCCATCTCTGATTCAACGGCTGATTTGGAAGTAAGACTATAAAGAGAAGACCTGTGACCTTCTGGACTTCTTTGAAGATCCTTTCTTCTACACCAGCATGAGAGACGAGGCTATTCCCAACACGTCTTAGTTGGTTTTTACTCCTGTACTGCAGCCTTTCCTGCATTCAGCTTCTAAAGTTCACCAGGTTTTTGTTTATGGGTCATAATGACCCACTCTTTTGTCCGTTCTCCTGGTCTTCTCCTGTCCAACTTTCTCCCAATAACGCAAAAGCTGATAGCTCACTTCTAGGTGGCACATTTGCTCTTTCTAGATCTAGCATCACTCAGTTTGTACAGGGTTGACTACAGAGGTGAAAGTGGTCCTTCAAAATTCCTTACTAAGGAAGCTTCAGGCAACACATCAGGCAGGAATTGTTGTGAAAGGTTCAAGTGACTTCAGAGGACTGCTGAAGACTGGTATATACTTGTCAGATTTCTCTGCCTTTCCCAGACTATACAAGGACAGCATACTGCAAACACACACAGGTATTTCAGATGAACCAACAGGGTACAAAACTAGAAAGAAAATGCTCCAGTCCCCAGAATTGATTCTATTTCTCTTAAAATAATCAAGACCTGACTCAAGTAAGAATAAAGTCTCGCTACAGCTTTTATGTCTAGCGCATACAGGGATGCAGGGGGAACATATCCCAGCAAAGCACTTTAAATACTACGGTATTATACTGAAAATGTTTATGGCAGACCAAGTAATTCTCTTACCTGAGGTATAATTGAAATTTTCTTCCGTAAGTCATGGAGTCCTAGCTCTGATGTCAAGTACTTATCAATCCAAATCTTTCCTTCGGGTTCCGCCAAGCGAAAAAGGGCTGCTATCAGAGAGCTTTTCCCAGCTCCAGTTCTTCCCACTATTCCAACCTACAGAGCAAGCCAAGCCTGTACAATTAAACTGTGAGCTTTTTGGGATAAATTAATATGTCAAGCAACACTTTAACAACATCAGAGGATTTATACTAGAACAAGCACCAAATAAAACTTTTTCATAATTAACATTCTTTCAAGAGGAAAACCCCCTCTCTCCCCTAAATTGGTTTGGATTCAGGTGACACAACAATTTCTTGGATTATATTCAAAGGTGAAAGATTTTCCCTTAATGTGTGGTGTCTTGTTGTGTAAACAAGATAAAGTGGCTCAATGCATAGTAATGTGTTCAAGGCTGCTAATTTTTATACTAAACCCGATTCGCTAGGTGATGTTAGGCAAATCATTTCAGGCATGCATCTACTTCTCAACCCAAAAAAGGACTCCCATAAAGCACTCTGGGAGCAATGTATTCCCAATTTAAATAACTGAGACTGATTTTGGTTAGCACGGTTAAGGTGAAGTGCTTTAAAGCAGCAGGATTATAAACCATATTCATACTTCCTACATCTTCAACAAGTACTGAAACTACAAGGCCATGTGAGCAATCTGAAATTCCTTTCTGAACAAAAGAAATAGTGATTAATAACATCACAGGGATACAGGCTTCTATTTGTTCCCAAAGAAAAATTGGAAGACATATGCGATCTGGAAAAAAAAAAACTTTCAGAAAAAAGGGACAATGCAAAATATGGGATTGATAACTTTAATGACAAGGGGCTAAGACCTGCAAATATTTTTATTTTTTTTTTTAATGTTGTCTTCAGTAAAGGATTCTTAGAAAAAACAATGTACAGTAATCAATTGTATCAGGGAAGATAATGGGTTTAACCCCCTACACAGATCTGATCTGGCAGAATTTATTTCCTGCATTCTGTTCTAATTGCTACATTTCCAGAAAGAAATCAACACGGGAAAGAGTTCAGAGCAAAGCAACTTAATATGTGTTGGAGATACTGATTTGACGAAGAAGGATTTATGATGATTAAACATGTATAATATGGCCTGGCAAAGTGATTGGGGTGCAGAAAGGAGGAATAAATATGAAAACCTTCATGAGTATACGTACAGACACCAGAGGGCAATTACCCACTGCCTGAGACTCAGATGTATGCAGCAATGACTGCTGAAATGAAATTAAGCATAGGAAACTGCATCAAAGAGCAAGGAGAAACTTTTGAACAGACAGAGACACTAACTTCAGACAAAAAAGCAGTGCTCACATTTGATAAAAAATACACAACATACTAAAAAAGTATACTTCTAGGAGCAACTTATGCTGCATAATCTAAAATGCATTTTCTACTTCTATCTTCCGAGTCAATAATTTCAGCCAACTATTCGTTATTGTACTATTGTATATAAACTAATTAACATTTCTACAGTGCTTATTATTAAAGAAACAGACTGATTTAAGCAAATCTGTTACAATAAATGATAAAATGTCTAGTATTCTAAATTATATCAGTGAAACAATAGAAAAATAGTTCTGAACAGATAAACTGCAGCTCAGAAAGAAAATGCTGAATGAAGAACACAGACAATCAGAGTTGTGAAAACAAAAGTTCAATTGTTTCTCTGCAAATGTCAGTGATATAAAGTATTGTATTAAGGATATAAAGAAAAAAAACATAAAAAAATACATTGATACTTAAAATAAAAATGCAGCTGCTCTGCATATTGTCAAAATCCCACTTTCAGTTTGGCATCAAATGAAAGGGCTATGCTCTTCAGCGTTTAGAAGCATCTATTTGTATCTTTGGTCCAACTGACTATAGGCTGCTGAAAATTGAATTTGAACCAGCCCTCAGTATACACTTTTTTTTTTAAACATTTTATTCTTCAGAGCCCCATGTTCACAGCCAGTGCAAACACAGCGACAGGCTGCAAATGGAAGCCCCACCCACTTAGCAGGAATCACATGGCCAGGATCTCGCTGCCTGATATAAGCCATGTGCATGCACAGGAGTACACCTGCTATGCTGGGCTCATCATTACTCAAGTGTCACCCATACTTCAAACTAGAGCGGTAAAAAAAAAAAAAAAAAAGTGAGATTTACAGCATGTCAGCTACTCCAGTGAAACTGCCCATGTCTTTATTATCCCTCAGGCAACCTCCCTTTCGTGCTATGCTGTGAGAGTATTTACGTGAACAGCTGCCATGCTGTAAACTTATACCCTCACCCTCCTAACTGTTTCATGTAGCCCTCAGAATTAGGATCTGTCAGGAAAAAGTACATTTATATTATATCAGCCAATAAGCACCCTTAAACAAAGACAGTGATGTTAAAAACCCAATGTTACACATGCTTATCTTCTCCAGCTGCAGCTATAGTAGCAGAAGAGGTTAATCACTGCCAGCTGATGGCACAGCTCTTTGCACCTCCCTGGTCTGTCTGTCAGACTACACCACATTAGCAAAGATGGTTAAACAGAGAGTCCTTCCTAGCCTGCTTTGACTGTAAGGAAATGCTGAATGCTGAGACAAGCAGATCAAAAGAGACCTTAACACATGAGTGATCTGCTAGCAATCACCTCCTGCTGTACCTTCAGCTTCCCAAGCTGGGCACCGGACTGCCAACAAGAAAAACTACAACAAGCACAGCAGAAGCTAAAATTAATTCATCCTGCCAGTAGCACTGCAGCCACCAGAACTCTCTATAAGCCAGGGGCCTGAATAGGCATAAGAGGTCTCACTGACAGCCACATGGGCAGACCTTCTAACAGATCTGGAAACCCGGTTCTGAAGAAGATGCTTCTCAATAATTAAAACCAATATAAGGACAGATGCTTGGGAGATTTATACAGTGGCAGTCTACTGCAGTATTGTGCAAAACATCAGAGAAAACAACACAAAGTTCTTGGCTATAGTTTCAAGCTGGGCAAATTCACTTCAGGATGACAAAACCACAGCATAACTGCTCAGCAAAAACAAATACCCCCAGTCATCCCTCCTTCTCCTGCCTCCACCAAGGATTGAGTCATACATTGCTAATATCTCTTGCTTCCATTTTTTATTTCATTTCTGTCTCTCACTAAAAAATGTAAAACTTCTCTGCTATTATACTGGAATGACATATAATAGCTAAGGAGACAGCCTACGTGGCTCTTCTCAGACACCATTTTTAACTCACTCCCACGTTATTTCAGGAGATCAACTCCATGTAGCAAAGATGGGTTGAATTTTTGTAACATGCATGTCATCAACGTGTTCACTTGAGGAAAGAAACAGGGTTGGCTGTGAATGGAAATGCATGTTACAAATGAGGCCAGGGAAATGACACTAGAGTTGAACCAGTCTCCTAGGGAAGACATCCTAATCAAAAAGTACACGTGCATTTGAAATGTAGGAAAGCACAAATTAACACTGCAGGGCTCTAATTTAATGTTGTCTGTGGGGGAGACCTTCCCCGCAGCACTCTTTCAACTGGAAGAGCATCAAAATTGGGGAGGAAGAGTCAAATTTGCAGAGGAGGAAGAGTTTTATTTCTATGTTTCTTTTGGCTACCAATCTAATTAATGGCAATAGTTAATTAGATTGATAGCCGAAAGGAACTGAAATAAAATTCCAAATTCTAAAGTTATGCAACTGAGTTGTATTTCTTCTCTCTTCCATTTGGGGCTCAGTGCAAGGGCGGGTACATTCCTTATTTTCAATCTGTTTTGCTCACCTTGTCTGTTTGTTCCAATTATGTTCCCTTTATTAAATCCCAAATTTCCTAATGCAGCTCCATGTGCTTTAGATTTGAACAAACATTTTGGGCTCAGCTGGTATTTTCAATGTCTGTCACTTTCTGAAGAATCCCAGATTTTTAAAGAAAATTATCAGACATTTTTAATCCTTTGTTCTAACATACAGAAATACCATATTCCTGGATTCATTTATGCTACACTTACAAGAAATAAACAGGCTCTAATTTCTGTTATTAAATACGACTAAAACTTATTTTTTAAAAGAACACTTAACTGTTTTCCAAACAGCCGTGTATTTTATAATGTATTTCTCGCACACAGCTTCTTGTCAATTTATCATCTTTGCCTAATTTCTTTGAATATCTAAAGACAGCCATATACATACCTTTTCTCTCGGTTTAATTAAAACAGACAAGTGTCTTAAGACCAAAGGTCCATCTAGACTGTAAGTGAAGTTAACATTTTCAAATGCTATCATTCCTTGGTTAGGCCATTCCGGTGGAGGATGTTTGTTGGTCTCCCACGGAGCTTCTTTTTCAAGATCTGTGTATTCCATTACTCGTTCTACTGATATCATCTACCGGGAGGAAAGAAGATATATACACATGAACTTCATCCCACTGCCTATACTGCAGATATTGCACGCATATAAATGTGTGTGTTTTGAATATGAAGATTCACTGCAAATTATTCCACCGTTTTTCTTTTAATCACAGGTAAGAGTATTTGGTGCCATTCTATGCTCTCTTCATTAAACTGAAAAAGTGTCAAGAATGCATCTCATGTCCTACTACATATCCAAATCTATCACGATACATAAAACCATACATAAGCATCATTTCTAATCAGTGGGATTAATTACAAATCTAAATACCTGAGAGAACTGGCCAAACATTTCCTGAGCTGACAGGCTTGGTGCCATTACCACTTCTCTGGGGAGCCTGTTCCCCTGCCCAACCAGCCTCTAGTTGAAGAACTTTTTTTCTGATATCCAGTCTAAACCTCCCCTGGCACAGCTTCATGCCATTCTCTCAGGCCCTGTCACTGGTCACCAGAGAGATCAGGGCCTGCCCCTCCTCTTTGCCTCATAAAGAAGTTGTAACTGCAATGAGGTCTCCCCCTCAGTCTCCTCTTCTCCTGGCTGAACTGACCAAGTGACCTCAGCTTCCCCTCAAGGCCTTTCATCATCTTTGCAGGTTTCCTTTGGATGCTCTCTAACAGTTTTTTATCTTTCTTATATTGTGGCTCTCAAAACTGCACACAGAACTCAAGGTGAGGGTGCACTAGCACAGAGTAGAGTGGGACAATCACTTCCCTTGACCAGCTCACAACAGAATAGAGGGGAAATGTTGTTGACTTCCTCAAGTGTAGTCACCCTTTAATAACGGGATTTTGGGTGGATGTCCACCTGTCAAAGAAGTTGCTAACTGTAGATCTATAAAATGATCACCATTCCATATCAAAGCCAGCTTAGTGAACAGCAAGCCTTTCTCCTCCAAAGTATTCCTGAATCAGAGCCTCCAAGAGAGCAACTCAGTATATAAGACAGTCCCACCAACACTTCCAAAACTTCCCAACTGGTATGAAAAAATCTGAAAGCTTTCATCCCATTTCTCATCAAAGTCTGTCACTACTAGTTTATTCATGTGTGAAAAATGTGCTGAAGAAGCAATGTGCTAGCCAAAAAAGCCCAACTAAGTTACATTATTATTATTAATTTTATTTGTTATTAAACATGGCTTTGTAACTTCTACAGAAGGACTACACATATTTCCTAGACTATGGACAGCAAATTGTAACTAAAAGTAACCTTCAGTTGTCAATTCAACACAAAAAATCTCAGGTTTATGCTCAGCATGTTCTTTTCAAAGTCTATTTTTCTTATATATTAACTTTAGGAACTAAATAGGCAAACTAGAAAATGCTAGTAAATATTGTAAATTGGGAGAAGGTGTTTTATGTTATATATTTTGGAAAACACACAAACTTCTCAGCTGAATATAAACAAATACTTTCACATATGTGTTAACCTAGAACAAATCAGGAAGATATGAGCCTTTACAACAAAATAACAGGACCATAAAAATGCCATGAGGAATATAAATTTTAAAATGCAATCATAAATAATATTAAATTAAAACTATCAAATATGGAAAAAAATTTAAATCTTCCTTATAGAGAGGAATTAAATTATTGTAATTTTAGCAAGTTGCAATGCAATTGTCTATACTATAACTAGACAGTCTTCTTTCTGCTGTAAAGGGAGATTATAAAGCCTCCCTTATTATGAATGGAGAAGGACAGTCCCTGGACCAAATTCCTCTCAAGAAATATTCAAAATCAGTCAGACAAATTATACCCTAGAATAAGAAATTTTTCTTTATGGATTGTAGAGTAGCGCCTCAATTTCCTGCTAAGTTAAATAAGAAGAATCTCATCCTTAAGCATCATGTCACAAGAATGAAAAGTAACCAGGAGGAGAAAAGGAATAAACAAACGTTACCAGGTTTTCAACTTCAGCACTTTGTCTCACACCCCACTGGAATGTTCCCATGAGGGTGATCGCATAGGATAACGCCAAACCAACCTGGCCCGCATTCAGAGCTGCAGAAGAGAGGAAAAAGAGACTCAAATAGGTACACTGGTAACTACACAAAATCCCAGTTAAGTTCCCTTTCATGGGATTCCTTACATGATGGAAGCATCACAGACAGAATTTTATTTGGTTACATAGTACTTGCTATCAGTACAACAAGCAGCTCCAGGCAGAACAGCTACTTGCTGCATTTCTTCGGTACATTTTGGAAACTGTCTATTTGAGAAGATAATCCCAGTTCTCCTTGGCCTGGCATTTTATCTGAGGTTCAGTCTCAAGACCAGACTTACAGAGCTTGTTAGGGTCATCCCTATCTGGCTAAGCACTAGTTAACTCTTCACTTTTTTCTAAGGGAATTAGATAAGCTCCTAAACCTAAGCAAAAAATTAGCATAAAATGATTTCAAAATTAGTTACGAACATTCACATCAACTTTGTACTCTTGTAAGCGATCAGATAAAAATAACAGGGCAGAATATTTTTTCCTCTTTTTATAAAAGCATTTTCTGTGTTCAGTGGATCTACTCTCACAAAACATATGAATTCTGTCTGCCCTGATATTAAGCATGATTGTCCTCTGACTTTACTTGAACTTTATCCTAACATAGTCCTATTGACTTCAAGAGAGCTACTCCTTATCCAGAGGCAAGGAAAGATTCCAGATCATTGTTTTGACTTGTCTTTTTGCATTCTACTAACATCAAACCTAGCTCAAAATTTGCAGTGTTGTGCAGCACAGAGTTCAAATTTTAAAATACACGTGCATATGCAGAACTTACCCAAAGAAAAAAGAAAAGAAACAAAACCATCAAATTAGCACTAATTTTCATGTCCAAGATAATTGTTTCTTCCTTCATGTTTTAGATTATTATCTCATTCTAGTACATCTAACCCAATTACATCCTGGATGATGCATGCTCTAATGACAGTTCATGAGTGACAGTGAACATAAAATGTATTATTACAAGGCAATTTTCTTTCTGGAACTGGCCTATCCCACTGATCCAAGATAGGAGAAGAGCATCCCTAGGAACTTTAGCTTGCCTTTTGACCTACTGTGCCATGTGTAGAAAGGAAAAAAGTTGTTAAGAGGCAGCTCCGTGGGTGTTTCAGTATGAAAAGCAAAGCCCTGTAGGCCCAAAAAAGATAGACAAAGGTGGGGAAAATGAAAAAGATTTATTTGTGTTTATCGCTCTGAAAGCCAGAATCTCAAAAGTGAAGACTAGATATCTGCAAGTTTGTTTGCACATTTGGGGATGATGATAGATGCATGCCTCAGCCCGGAAGATGTCTGAACTGCCTCCAGTATTTGCAGGAAAGTAGATACAGCCCCAATGCCCTAGACCGAGGAAGAGATCATGATCTAGAAAGAAACATTTAACTTAATTACAGCCTTTAAACAATTAGAAACAGAAATCTGTGAAAAAGAATTAGACATTACTATCCATGGTAATTACTGGGTGAACTTTTTCTAACATCTGTACTTACTCTTAGCAAGAAGCAGGGAACCAAAAGCAACCACTATAACAAAAATGGCACAGATGGCATCCAGACGCACAGCAAACCACCTTGAGGTCGTCAAAAACAGAAACCAGGCCTCTAAAGTGTATTTTACAAAGACATAAGAACAGTGGATTGTTAGAAAACTATGCTGTACAATTTTTACTAAATTTACTAAATTACTAAATTTTACTAAATTAGTTGATTAAAAAAAAAAAAAATGTCATCTTCAAGTGCACGTCTGTATGGACTGATGGTGATCAGGATACTGACCAATTTTCCTGAAATGGTATAACTTTGTTTTCACACCAATATCAACCACAATGGTAACAACAACTAGTATAACATACTGTAATAGGAATAGAAAGAAAAAAACAGTCCAGGTGTCAAGTCATGGTCAAGCATGGTCCATTTATTTTAAAAGGGAACCTTCTTTCTGAACTCTACTGGAATCAGGGGTCTTAGGGTGCAGAAGTACAACTACATTTACTGTAGCTGGACTAGAGTCTATAGGCTTTTAGTGAGAACATATCACAACATAACTGTGAGAGCCAAGTCTTTAGAGGGCAGCTGCAGCTGATTAAGCTCCTGTAAGAGCTACTCAGTACAGCCAGTTTAGCTACAGAGCTATTAAAATGACTATATGCACATATTTACTTTTGGGGAAGCTCACAGGTGGACATCTGCACTGGGCACTCAAATCCAGGTGTTCACAATTTGGTTCTAAATTCCATCCCAGACAGATAATGCTACAGTACAAGATACAGGAGACAGGGGAAAAGACATTGCAATCCAGAAGGCAGAGTGTTTGCATTCAGGGCCAACACCAGAAGTCAAGTAGCCATAACGAAGTATGGCACTATTTATTGCTTAAGCTGCAGTCAGATGAATTGTTCCAGCTGCTATCAAGTCACAGCAGAAAGTTACCATTCCAAACCTTTCTGTACTGCTTGTCATTATTCCATGCTAAAGATCAATTCAGTTTCAACTGTTTCAGTGTTCCTTAGCCTAGTGCTGGGAAAGATTCAAACTAAAAAAATCTCCCTTTTGTAAAATAAAGAGTAGGCAAGTCCAGTTTTTAAGCCTGATCATCTTGGATAGCCAGATTATGGAGTGAGCAAATCAATTCAGCGAACAGAAACCTCCATGTAACTTCTGGAGGGCAGCAGAGGGTAAGAGTGAGGATGACAAGAGGAATCCAGCTATGATACAAAAGTGGTAACTTCTTAGTCCCATCTTCATCAACCCAAACTGCAGTATGGCTGATCACACATTTAGCAGCTGGTTGCATTAAACAAGACGTTTGACGTGGTCATACACCTGGGCACAGAGAATGACACAGGCCGCACCAAGTCACAAACTGAATTCACCACAATTTAGTTACTTCTCTGAAACCCAGAAGCCAAGTGGCCCTGGAAACAATCCACAGCAGCTTCCTGGTGACATTAGAGGTCATTTTTGGCACGACAGTGTAGCTGTAAGACCTTGTAGATTTTTCATCTCCAAGGTTTTACTCCATTGATCCTGTTGTCTGGGAAGGTGCCCTAAACTGCCAGCTTGAAATGGGTCATTTTGCAACCCTACGTAAGTGGGGTCAACGTGCATAAAGGAAGGAATATGACAATGCTGGGGACTAACAGACTCATCATGGTGTAACTTCTGATGACTCATGAGCCTGCTTATAGAGATGGACACTGGCAGGAAGGAAACCTGGGTTTGGTTAAATCTCAGCATGCCCTTTAGATGTTTGTTATCTAAAATTTATTTAATACTGAATTCACAGGCATGCATGAAAGTGGTTCACAGCAAGTGTCCTGTGTCCTAGGCTCAGGCCTGAACAGAGAAGGACACTACTCCAGCCACAAGTGCTAAACAAAAGCCTTGATCGTTGGGAGAGCCTTTTGCAATTCAGCGAAGAACTCGAAACTCTTTAGGAGACTTAAAACCCCAGTACTCCAATTTTATGAGCTAGTATGAAAAGTATCCTCTTACATCAGCTACTGCTTGCTCACATTTAGTATCAAAGAACCATCCAGGGTGTGAAAGCAACTTCAGGGGATCTCCAGTTCATCCTCCTCCTCAAGCACAGTCAGCTCTGAAGCCAGACCACGCTGTTCCATGCTTTATGCAGCTTGAGTCTTGAAAACTGACAAGGATGAAGCCTGCACAACATCTCTGGGCAACCTGTTCCTCTGCCCGACAGTGCTCATGGTGAAAAATTTTCCTTGTGTTCAAATTAAACCTCTCTTATTGCAACTTATACCCATTTGTTGCTCTTACCGCCATGTACCATAGTGAAGAGCCTATCTTTTTGTCAGCGTCCTTGCAGGTGTTGGAAGGCAGTTATTAAATCCTCTGTAAGCTGCCTCTTCGGGGAGTTGAACAAGCCCAGTTTCCTCAGCCTCTCCCTACAGGGAGATCTCTTCCGTTAGTACACTATCCTAGCTGGCACCTCCACTGAGGGCTAACAAGTGCTGAGAGGGATGATTTCCCTCCTTCCCCTGGCTATGCTCCTGTCAATACAGCCCAGATGTCGTTGGCTTTCTTTGCTGCCCAGGCACATTGCTGGCTCATACTCCCTGTGAGGACCACAAACCACACACACACCAAGCAAGCTGGTGTACCCCAAATACTCTGGCGGGAAAGACACCAAGACAAAGTGTGTAGGTATACACAAGGGTGTGATAATGAGCACTGAAGTTTGATCTCTAAAGCAGGTTCCTGATCTGCCCAGGAGTGGTGTTATTGACAGTTTGGACAGGGAGACGCATAAAATTGACTGGAAAGTAGTGTGTTTGTGTTCCTTAGATCTGACCTTAAAATATAAGAAAAATATTTCTTCTAAAGGTCATGGTCCTCTTTGTATAGTGAAGCTTGTATATGCAGTTTATGTCTTTTAATACAAAGCTCAAAAACAACTTTGTTTTCCCTCACTATCAGCTACTGTTACATTGATATGGTCAGATAACTGGTAACTCGAAAGCATTAAGAAATGCAAAATTCAAAGCCAGAAGTGCCTCCCTAGAAGATACACCAGTCACAGGTAACTGGGCTCAACAAGGAGGTCAGTGAGAACAATTCCACAACCTGTGATAAACTACTTTATCACAGAAAAGATCAACTGGTCTTACCTTTGAAGTCTATAATTTACAAAAAAGCCATAGAACATACTTGTACATGTTATGACAGAGGAAATTCACAATCTTACCTACCAAACACAAAATTGCACACTTGTGCTCTGCTGCATCTTGAAAAAACATGGTAATAGAGAATATTTAGTTGACAGAAGGTAAAGAATCACAGTGTAAGCCTGAATTACATTACTTATGCTTGCAGAATACTAATATTTTACACCTTCTGGTCATGTTAATACCATATATTAGATTTAAGCCCTGAAAGCTGCTCAAAGTAAAAAAATGAGATCCATGAAACTCTTCCAAGATGATTTATATTAATAATCTCTGCCCACTCCTAGAACTACTTAATATTAAATGCTTCATAATACAGCTTGTTTCATCCCTCTCCCATTTTTTTAAAGATGGAATCCAGGAAAATGTGAAAAATTATTCTTTACGTATTCTTAGCAGGCATACTTTTGAATGTTTATCTTATACATTGTTAAGACATACGCATGGGTATCTCAAATTACATTACAGCCCAAAGTAAACTCTCTAAATCTAGAGAGATAATAACGTTTTTGTTCTAATAGAGAAATTTTACCCTAAAGAGACAAATGCACAGCTCCTGCTGATTTTAATGCACATTATACACATGTCGCTGAGGGCGTAAGATATTTCCCTCCTACAGTGCAAAGTATTTGATTTTTCGTGTCAATTCATCACAAACCTGAGTGAAGGTCTTGGTGTGCATCAAATAATTTTTGAAATCTTTCCTCTGCTTTCAAAGCCCGAATAGTCCACAGACCCTGGAGGGATGACGACAAGTGGGAGAATACTGGACTTCGAGCTACAAAGGGAAATAAGAGTACATTAACAATGGCTGAAGGACAACATTTAATTCTTTTTGTACCACACTAATCTTTAATCCTACTACTTTATATTTAAGCATACAAGTTACTCTACTGCATCCCTTTAGAATAAATATGCAGTATCTTTAACTAATGTGCTCTTACTCAATTAGAATCAGTCAGACAGCCAGGCAGATTAATTTATACAAAAATGCCTTACATTTTTAACAATAGCTGTCACTGAAGAAACTCCTTAAGCTTTATTAATGACATCAGGCACCCATGTTTGTTACTCATAATGCTTAGTATTTCATATCGTAGTCAAGCTAAAGTCAGGCACAAGAGTCAGATAAGGTCAGAAACACCATTAGTGTGTGCATGCAAGGTCCCAAAGACCAGCAGCTTAGCATGTTCTTAACCAGCTTTATTTACAGATAGGTAAACTGACGTACACAAGGTTTATCATTATGCAAAACAGGAGTTAAGCATGTAATTCACTAGTTGAGAACCAAGGCAATAAGGAAGTTATTTGCATAGCAAAAGAAAAAAAAAAACTTTGATGGACTGTCTATAAAATACTAGCATTTCACATAATAATAAGCAGGGTTCAAACTAACATTAAGTCCCGCCAAACTACATACTTGTGGATTCTAGACGTTTAATATCTCTTGAAGTGTCTAAGAAATATCGTCGAAGAAAAATGAAAAGAATAAATAGTGGAATTAAGGGGATGAGTATCCAAGGAATCACTGCCACAGCCACAGCCACCACACCAAAAATCTGTAGGAGAGTCTGGAGCACAATAGAAACAAAATAAAAAACTCTTTGCCAGAAGAATTTAATTTAGAACAAGTATAAAACTAATTAACACACTATTCAAACACTTAAATATTTAAACATAACTACCAAATTAAAGAGCGGATGCATTGTATAACATATGAGCAACATCTACTTTTAAGCAACTTGGAAAATTTATAGTAATATCTAAATTGACTAACTGTGCAGTTTATGGTTTTCTTCTGTATTATTTTTTAAGAAATGTCTTCACAAAACTGGTTGACTTTACATTACTGTCTTTCTTTGTAAAATATTTTATGACTGCTGTAACAAAGTAATAGATGATTAATGTAACAGACATCTAATCTTAATTGAACCCAAGTTATCTGGTGAATCAAGGATATGTTTTTTTCACTCCTGGTAAAGAGACACTGGTGAAAGACTGACTTTCAACTTCAGCTGAAAGATCTGACAGCTGGAAGAGAGACTTTCAACACAGGCCTGCAATGTTTTCCTAAAAACAACTTAGTCCCATTTAGAAAGAAAACTCAGTATCAGAGCAAGTGAACTGTCTCTTCTCAAAGGATTACACTGGGAAACACTACAAATAAAAATAAAATGTTACACACTGCAAAAAGTGTCATTAAAGGCTAGTTTTACCAGGTGTACTAAAGAGTATGATGTGAATAGCTGGGGTAAACCTGACTTAACTCTTAGAAAACTAGATATAATGTGGAAAGAAGCTTTGTTGCTTATGACAGTGGATCCTGGCCCACTTTTCTGAATTCAATCCTGCATCGTCCAAATCCTACATCAAACTTTCAATTTGAATACACAATCAAAACCATCATCTGCACACAAATTTCTTTCAGAACACCAGCTGTGCATGTATGTACAGCAGGATCCTTGTATACTGTAACTAAGATATGCCCATTTCCTCCTTAAAAAGGGGGCAAAAAACCCATACAAGAATAAACCCACCCAGTACAAAAACAAGACAACTGAAATCCTAGCTCAGGACTGAATTCCTGTATTACTCTCATTAACAAATTCATTAGAAATATTTTCTAAGAAATTTTCCATTTTATGGCCTGTAGAGGAGCCACCTTCTTCGTAATCACATACAATGTAGATGTGGATTCCAGCTGAATTTTGTGGCTGCCTGATTTTCAGATCCCAGAAACACACTGGTGACTGCTGGGTGCTAAAAATGCATGTCTTGCAGCAAAAATGCTTCCATCTTTTTATCTGTGCATTGAGTTGGAAAAGGTAAGCAACACAGAAAAATATCAGCCTAGATCAGATACCAGAGAGCCTCCTGGGTTTTCAATGGGAATGCCTGTGAAACACTGCATTTCCTGCTGCACTTCTGGTAGCCCACACACACATGGTCAAAACCGAGCATAACCTTTACCCCTAAATTTGTTTTTTTTCTCTTCAGGCCTCTCTGACTTTACCCTAATTTCACTTGACCAAACAGCAAACCCACACATCTTATACATTATGACTGCAGGAGTCAGCACAATTTAAGTTCAGCGCTAGACAAGGTCTTAGCTTATGATAGAAGATTTACGAGTATAACAGCCTTGCAATCTCATAGATCCTAAAAGCAGATTTTAGGGTCTCATAACTCTGTTAGGAACATACCTATAGGATAGGAGCTCTGAAGGAAGCTGCGTTACCACTACAGTGCTCATCTGTGGGTTAAGGTGTTGACAGCATTATGTTGTTTGACCTTCTAGATACATACAGTAGATCACAAACATTTAACCTAGATTTCATCAGGAGGAGGTAAGGTGGCAATGAGAGTGCATGGTGTTTCGCCTACATCAATTACGCACATGGCTATGTCAGCACAAAGCAAAACAAAGCACCGTGACTCCTCACCAGCACTGTCATCAGCCCTTCTCTACTTTCCACTTCTCTGGCATTCTGTAAACATATTTCCTTTTTATCGTGGGGTGAGGAGAAAGAAATAAAGATTCCAGACCTCCTACAAATTTGCTCCTGTCTAGAACCCCATTTTCCTCTGTACTGCTCATTATCTCTGCCAAGCCTGTCAACCATCCACATGATGGCTAATTTCTAAAGGTTCCCTTACATCCATCCTTATCAGCAGAGGCCGAAGTCCATTCCTTCCTTCTAACAAACTCACTTCTGAATCTGCTTTATACACCTGCTGCCTTCTCCCTCTCCCTCCATCACTTCCTAGAGAGTCACAAGGAAGCTGTTTCTGAAGTGCATAGTCCCCTCATACCATCAGCCACAAATCTGAAATGAAATGTTGAGGAAAGCTGCTTCAAGGAAAACAATTCTGCGGAAGATACATGCTTCTTAATAAAAAAATTAAAAAGCTAAACTGAAGTTTTAGTGATGATAATCTACAATATGTTGCAAAGTGCCAGTAGGGGTGGGAGTGGGAGCAAAACTATTAAGATCCAGCTCGTGTAAACAAAGCCTCGCTATGGCAAAAATACAGGGAAGGAAAAGAAGGTTAGGATGACTAAAGTAAAAATCTGACACCGCCTTTGGAAGGAATTTTAGATGAGCCTGCACCACCTTATCATTATAAAAATTTATGATAGGGTGGATCAGTCATGCGTGTTGGGTTTTTTTTGAAAACCAAAATTGCATATAAATTAACTCTTAATGAAGTAGTCTGAAAGCCAGACACAACCATTTGTAGACTGTAATCATGTAGTTACTGCATAAGGTAAGGCGAAGGTTCTAGCTCCTGAGTTTCACAAGAGACAACCAACCTCTGCGGCTGGAGACTGCCCCAACTTCTAGTGGATTCACTGCGTGCAAGCTGGAGGACTCAAAATCATCACCAGGCTGACAATAACAATGAGCAGTCCGACATCTCTTCTTCTGGAGACAAGCAGTGAGGTAGGTATTTGGTTTGCACAGCAAGAAATGCTCCGGACTGAGTACCTAGACTTCACCTAGCAGAGTCAGCTTACAATTGAAAATCGCTTCGGAAGGCTAAGCAGGCAAGGTTTTCCTACATTGAAGAAATATGGCCTACAAAACCAGTATTTTTACTGCTAGGGCTTATTTTTTTCTTAATTTTAGCACTGAAAATGTAATGACTGTGCAGAAAATAACAGTGAAATTGAAAAAAAAAGAACAAAAACAAAAACCCAAAAAGCATAAAACAACCAAACTCAAAAACCCAGAGCTGATGAATTATATTTTACAGCTATCTGCACTGTATTTGAAACAAGGACACCTTACACAAAAGACAACAGGTGCACAGGCTACTGAGACTAAAAAGATCTGGATGGTTCCAGGAAAAGATCATGACTTCCACATGGAGAAATATTGTCCAATGTCCACCTTCAAATTTATTTCCATTTCCCTGGGGAAAGATAAATCTCCCACACACAATCTGCACATAGTCTATCCCTAGAATGCAGAATAGCATGTGCTGTTTCTGTTGAGTCATGCTCTTGCAAGAGTCCTAAGAGATTTTCCTCATGCTTTGATCAGTCATTCCATTTACTGTGGCTTATTTTTCCTTTAAAATCTCCTCTTTTACTGGAACAAGCATACCCTCCTACAACCCTCTCAAGAAATTAATGCTCTGATAGGACATTCACTTGTGAAACTCCCTTTATCGTCTGATGACCTACATATTCATAATTCTTATAGGTTCTGAGAGTGATATCCTGGAATTTTTATCTCAAACAGGTCTTGATCTAGGAATAACAGGTATTTCTGTACCACAATCACAGAACAGAAAAGCGTTTAATGCCAGATAAAGAAACCAGAAGAAATAAAAACCACTAAAAATCTGAAAAGAACATGGCCATTACAAGCCAAAAGCCATACATCTATCACAAGCTGTAAGCCTTACCCCTTGTTACAGAAATTATACCATTTACATAAGGTTAGAAATCTTATGACAAATTGTAAGCCATTCAAAGTAATTTAGTAAAGTTGACAAAACAAAAATGCAAAGCAAAATTTAAAGTTCATGATGTCTCATAAAAATGTCTATCTTTCCATCCCAAAGATCACTGCTCTTTGGTATCAGTTATACACTGAGATCAATATTTCATGTTTGGTTTAAGTACTTCTATGAAAAAGGCCCAAACCTCCAGGTAGAACCCCATTTTGAACCCCTCAGATCTGCTGGCACATTGCTACAGTGAGGAATTGGGAGTCCTTTATCTTCTCTTGAAAGTACCTATAAAACACCTCTCTACTTTCTAACAAGCTCGAAAGTGTCAGATCTTTGAGGTCTTCCATTTTCTTCCAAAATATAAAAACAAGGGGTACCATGCAGTTGTGTGTGTGTCGGTCTGACTTTCAAAGCCAAGTCATCCACATGGGTTTGACAGCTATGGTATAGGACCTACTGCCACAGGAGCCACACTATTCTGGACTTGCAGCTGCTGACCTGGTAGGATCTCGAATGAATGAATGGAGCCCAGGGGATGGGATTTGAGACGTGAAAACCTGAGTATGGGAGTCTACATGTGACCTACATAGTGAAACTCCTGTCTTTGCTTACAAGTTTAAAAAGTGATGAATAGAGTAATAAAATGGTTTAGACTGGAAAAGACCCCTTAAAGATCACTGAGTCCAACCATTACCAGAGCACCGCCAAGCCCACCACTAAATCATGTCCTTAAGCACCACATCTGCACATCTTTTACATACCTCCAGGGACGGTGAGTTCATCTAACCTGTACGTGGGTACCTAGTGACCATACGGTTGAATATTTCTCTACAGTCCCCTAATGGCATTTACTAGATGCCTTCTGACTGCAGCAAAGTAAACATCTAAAGCCCATCAAGCAGATATCTAAATTTTGATGACCGATTCTGCAGTCAAATCCCACCCAAGAACTGCAGTGTTCCAGGACCAGTTTTAACAATATTTGAGCAGAAGTCAAATACAGCTACCCAAACCCCATTCCCACCTGCTACTTCATGGACCCCAATAGGCACTCCAAAGGATTATATTAGGCCATGGAACTGCCATAAAGCCATATTAATTTAATAAC